CGCGGGGCTCCGCGCCCCCGCTGCTCCTTCGCAGCTGCAGCCGGGGAGCTCCCAGCACACACACGGCTTTTATTCTCCCTGCGAGGATGCTCAGGATGGAGAGAAAACACAGCGCTGCGTTTCCTTACAGGAAAAGCAGCAGCTACGGCCCACAGCAGGTGCACACGTTGTCCCTGAAGGAGCAATGCTGACCCTAAGCGAGGCTGCTGCAACTGGAAATACAGCTTCCAGGCGCTGCGTTTAAGAAAACGGTGTTATTTTCAACTTTACGGTTAACGATGAGCCGCACTCCCGACCTGGGCTCCAGCGAGGCTTGCTGCCGAGCAAAACGACGGCACGGAACAACTTTCTTCTTCCTCCGTGCAATAAGGACGCAGGCACCTGCGAGCGGGGCGGCCAGCCTCTAACGCAGCCTAGATGGGGGAAAGAAGCAGAGCCGCAGATCTCAGTTTTAACAAGTTTTAGGCAAGTTCGAAAGTATTAGGTTGTATCTTGCAAACCCGTATCGCTGCCTGGTTTAACGGGATTTCAATTCATCGGTGCAGGACCATGCATAAAACACAGTTTTATCGTGCTCAGTATGAAGGTGTTCTAATTATATTTATGAACAATGACAGAAAAGGGAAACCCCTTGGTAAATCCATCGCAGTACATTTTCTTCCAGCCCCGCCCCCCCGAAAAGCAGTAGGTGTGTTTTATTTACGCAAGTAGCTCCCTTGTGTAAGTGTAAGGGGATACAACATCCAACTCTGCCCCTCTCATTTATGTAATAAGCATTTTCGTTTCAAAAGCGGCAAAGCGGAGCTGCCACTCCACCACACTCACGTGCGTGCTTAACGTTATACAAGGGGATCAAGCGAGGCGTAAATTTAAGTACACGCACAATGGTTTGCTGGATCACAGCCTAACCTACGATGCCACGCATGAGAGGAACAGACCAGAACCCTTAATTCTGCCCAGGGATGGAGGTGTAAAATGAATTTAGCCGTGCCAGGCTAGAGCAGCAGAATAAGCCGCTTACCGCCAAAATTCAACCAACTTCCAAACAGTCACAGAAATAACTGTCATTAAAACATGTCTACATTAGTGGGAAGTGGAGGAGTATCCTCGGATCGGCCCTTCTTTGTAGAAAAGCTGTTTGCCTCCATGCCGAGATGCTGTTTGCAAGGTCAAAGCTACTCCTGTGTTAGGGAGGTGGGAAGACTGTAAGTCCACCTCAGTGAAGAAGAAGAAGAAATCAGAATCGCCAGTATTAGGTGACAACGGAGGAAAGCAGGCGTGATAGAAATGCCACCAATGCCCTATTAAGGAAAACCAGAGTGCGAACAACACCCCATGTCCTGTAGTGCTCAGCTTCTTGGTGAGAGTTGTTAAAAACCCAGCAGGCAGAAGCTTTCCAAGGTGCATCTCCCCTTCCTGCGGCAGGCAGCACGGCTGGCGGCTGTGTGAGCAGCTCCCAGGTCTGTTCTTTGGGCAGCTGCTGAGATTTGCCAAGTACCTCTTCAGGCTGGCGGAAAGATGACAGCAACCGGTGCTAAGTGCTCTCAGCACATCCCTGCTAGCGAGCACGCCGGTGCTCTGCTCGCCGAGTGAACTGTTTCGAAGGCAGCCCTTCCTCCTCTGCTTGGAGAGCACAAAGGCGTTCGTCTGCAAGGAAAAGCAGAGACAAAAAGCCCAACGGTTGTAATTGGGTACAAGCGCAGACTCCAGGGTAAAGGGCAACCGGCAAAACCACAGATGATTTGATTTCCTGGCAGGCGGGCTTGCAAGCAGAGATGGGCAATTTGGTCTTGGAAATACAACCGGCAACGCATTTGGGGAAAAAAGGAAAGCCACCCCGAATCCTGACCGCCTCCCACCGCTGTTTGTGCATGCAGTCAGAGCATGGCCACACAGCCAGCTCACTTTGGGAGGGAGGAAACGGGATGAAAACCTCTCAAAAATGATCACTAGTACAAGCGGGTGCTGCTGGAGCAGCCCCATCCCTAGCTAACACGCCCTCTGCCTCGATGACAGCGCAATTCCACATTCATGGCAGCAACTAGGAACGGGCAGCAGCAGCAGCTGCTGCCACCACTGGTTTGTTGCAAAACAACTAAACGCCAGCAACATCCATTTTTCAAAGTGTTCATCCTCGGGCGAGTTGAAAGCCTGTGTTGCTATTCTTACCGAACGGGGAGATTTACAAGAAAAAACAGTCGTCTTCAGATCTCTGAAGGATTCACAATGGTATCAAAGAGTTTTGCTCTTCTTTTAATGGAGAATCCACCTGCAAGGCATATGTATTTTGACACGCTCCGAAACGGTCACTGGAAAGAGCTCTTACCATAAATGCTTTCTTATTAACATAGTTGTGTGCTGGAAGTTTAATTACAGAAACTATCAATGCAACAGGAGATAAACACTTTGCTTTTGAAGGGAATTAATTTATTTGGAGATCTACATCACACAGGCACGCTGCTGGAGATCCAAGCAATGCCTGACCTCAGTATCATTAAATCATGCTCCGGGGAGCTCTCTTGGATTTTAAATACTTTTTTTAAGAACAAACTTCCTTCTTCTGGAATAAAGACACGCTTAAACATCGGTGATTTCCCAAAAGCCACCTGCACCCGTTTTTCTAGTTGTTTTCTTGGAAAACAGGCTACAGATATCAAACAGGCAACTTTGTGACATTTTGGTTACCAATAGGGAAAGGAGGCGGAAGGACTCCGGTTCCCTCCGAAGGGAGGGCAGGCAATACATGTAGGAAAAGCTGCGGGAAATGCCAGGGTTCCCAGCTGCAATGTGCTTTTGAGGAGTCATGACGCATCCCCTGCCTGGAGTTCCTGGGTTCCTGTTCAAAATTCGTGTCCTGTAAAACCACATTTGACCGACGAGCGGACCTGCTGCAGCAGCTGCGTTGCCACTTCAGGAGAAGGTCAGCTGCCCAGACGTCGCGTAGTAGCCAGAGGCATCCGAGGAGAACCTCTGGGAAAGACGCACCGAGTCCAGCTGTGCCTCTCCAAAGTAGAAGTTCTCGAAGAGCTGAAAGAGAAGAGAAAAACCATTTGAGGGTGTCCTGGTTTCAGCTGGGATAGAGTTAATTTTCTTCCTAGTAGCTGGTATAGTGCTATATATATATAATATGGGGTATTCCATACCATATGACATCATGCTCAGTATATAAACTGGGGGTAGTTGGCCGGGGGCTGGTGACCGCTGCTCGGGAACTGGCTGGGTGTTGGTCGGCGGGTGGTGAGCAACTGCATTGTGCATCACTTGTTTTGTATATTCTTTTATCGTTATTATTATTATTATTATTATTTTCCCTTCCTTTTCTGTCCTATTAAACTGTCTTTATCTCAGCCCATGGATTTTACTTTTCTTTTTCTTGATTCTCTCCCCCATCCCGCTGCGGGGGGGAGTGAGTGAACTGCTGTGTGGTGTTTAGCTGCCTGCCGGGTTAAAGCACAACAGAGGGGCACCTAGAGAATGCAGCCTGCAGCTGGTCCACCGATCTCTCGCAAGAGCAGGCCCTGCAAAAAGCCTCTACTCATAGACTTGTTTTGCCTTTAATGAAACTATTCTTTAAATTATTTTTCCCCCTAGAGACTGCACTTAGCCTTTAAAGCAAATGGTATGAAATGAACACCTCTTTTTATCTACAGCAGCAGTTGCTCAAACCTTCCCTACCTTGCTTTCTGACTGTGTCTCATTTAGGGAGCTTGGAGAAGCTATTCACCACCCCGAGGGCCACCACCTCAGGCTGGTGGCTCTTGAGGTCACAGGCTCCGCAGGAGCAAGGATTGAGGCCAGGACATTTTTACCAATCCAAGCCACAGGACGTACGACTTAAGAGTTACGGCTCAGTCCTAATTCAAACTAGCAGGCTAGAGGCGCAAGGCTCTTCATCCCAGCACTGACCCCGCTTTGTTCAACAAATCCTTCTTTGTTCGGCAAAGATTTGAGTGCAAATTAATGAAAGCAAGCCAACTCTGGGACCCAGAGGGCATGTCTCTGCTGATTAATCCAATCTATGAAGCAGACCAAAAAAAATGACATCAGAATTTCTTATGAGGAAGTTCAGCAATATTGCTGGAAAGGCATCGAGTCCAAGCGTAAAGTGCTCCTCCCGTTCCATTAAGATGCAGGAAATTGCTCTACCTAGAAACATCAGTTGTGCCTTTGGAAAAGCCCTTCCGTGGAGATGCTAATTTCAAAACTCCGCTTAACGGGAGCACTGTGAGTCACTCAGAGCCTGAGCAGTGACATCTCCCCACCATGGAGATCTCCGAAATGTCCATTCCATCTGTCTCCTATTGAATTTTCTATCTGTCCATGCAGGTGTTGGCTCAAGACAGTCGCACACCCCTTCCTGCCATTACAGAAGGCGCAAATGCTAATGGCCAGCAAAAGCCAATGCATTAATTACAACACATCCTCCTAGAGCCAATAGTGCATCAACTCCTCCACACAGCGAATGATGGAAACCCCAAATACCTAATTAGCATCTGAAAGGCTGCACTTCACCTCCTCCAAAAAGGCATATGGCTCTGCCTGGCACTGATTTGGGCAGGACTGCTCTTTTGTTGGTTCTCCCAAGGGAGAGATTTCCACTTTGCAAATACCCCTTTTTGCAAGGGCACCAGATAGGTTGCTTTCAGGACAATTCCCGGTTTCGCTGTCACTCCTCCACAATGGAAATGTGCCTTAGGGAAAGTGATTCCCTGCCCGTCTTCAGGGCAGACCAAGCAGCGCTTTGGCCAGGGAGCACCACCGAGGTACGTGGGCCGCAGACCAGATGCCAGGCACCATGATGAATCCAGCCCCTGCTCCAGACTGCCAGCTCACCCAGACAACTCTCCACTCAGGATTTGGCTGAGGCCAGCAATTCCCCATCAACACACGACAGTCAGAATGGCATCTCTGAAGAGAAGGGGTATTTATGTGTGCCGAGCCAGCTCTCAGCGATTGCTAAGCCCCTGCTTCGGCTTGAAACGGCTGCAGCTGCAGTCAGACGTGCTGCAGAGTTCTTGCTGCCAGCAGCCCACCTGCCAGGGACCACCTCCTCCTCCCCAGACCTGCCTGCGTGGCAGCACGGGCAGTCAATCCTCAAGCTGCTTCTGCAAAAAGCATCTGGGTTAGCACAAACGCCGCGAAGAACTGGGTTTCTCTGTGCCAGACCATTTAGTCACAGCGTGCCTGCCTAGGAGAGGCGGTGGGCAGCCTCCGGCTCACCTGCACCTCCCTGCAGCTCATCCTGCCTTTGGGGTGACGCCTGTCCCTTAAGACCCTGGCACAAGGACTTACTTTGCACAGGGTCCGAAGTAATTTGTTGCTAATCACTCAGACTCATATTAAGCTGCAACTTGCTGCCAGTTCTTCCGAGCGCATACTCGGCAAGAGCCAGGCACCTCGCCACAGGGGTCATGCAGGCTCCCGTCCCAGCAAGAGGCCCCACCGCAGCAGCCTGGCTTCAAGGGACACCGTGTGTGCGGCTCCATGTGGCCACTGCCCTAAAGCGGGGCACCCTGTTGAAAAGTTGTGCTAAGGGAGCATCTCAAGAGAGATGGGATGGGAGAGGAGGAAAAGAGAGAAGAGAAATGACCACAGCCATACAAACTCCATTTTATATAATTAAAGATTTATACAATTAAAGATTAATTATGTTCCCAAAAGCCTGCGTAGTTCATGTTAGAGGACTTAGGATAAAATGTCTCATTAATAAGAGATGGTAGTAAAAAGGGGTTGGTCTCCTTTCTCTTTTTGTTTTGACTGATCTGAGAAGGAAGGATGATTTCCAGCTCTCCAGGGCTTGCTGCAGTGCTTGCCACCAGCGTGCCCACTCACCCCAAACCTTAACACCCGTCTCTGTCAAAATGGTCGTTCATATCGACACTCCTTTCCTTCACAGAGCACTCTCCACCCAGGAAAAATGGAAATAATTTCTCTCCATTCCTAACGGAGGGAGCGGTACGTGCACTGGTAAGCATGGAGATACTAGGATTTGAAAAGGATTTTTTTAAAAGAGAAGGGGGACAAGATGCATTTATTTCTGTAGAATTAAGTCTTTGCAAACATGAAGAAAACAAATGAAACGCTGGGATGTGCCAGTCCCATCAGCAGCCCTGGAAGTCAAACCTTTACACAAAACAGCCAAAGGAAGAGTCTTTCAAACACTTGTTTATATTATTTCTGCACACCACAGCCTGTTTTTCTTACAAAACACATGTACTCCAAAGCAAAAAATTAGTTAATGAGACAAACCCTCCCCCCAGCCCCTCTTGCCTCGCACAGCCTCAGGCACATTGGACGAGAAAGACAATCAGAAAGTCCCAGAAGACATTGCCCAGGTCAAGGGCCCTCCATTTGTGCACTGCTAAAAGTGAAGCAAAACCCTTGTACCAAAGCATTTTGTATTCCCTTGGCTTTTTTAAGACCTACCACCTCTCGTGTGTCCGAGCGTGTGTGTGTTTCCCAGGGAGAACACTGCTAGAACTATTGATTTTTGGTAATGTAGCTGTACTCTCTGAGAGTAAACATGCTACAAGATTTAGAGGACAACCACAGACATTTTTTTCTGCTCTTGTTTCAAGCCGGCTTCTCACCGATGCTTCTTTGCTCCCTGAGGCTTCCCACGACAGAAGCCACTGGACGCCAGGCATGGGGATCACAGCCGAGCCACCGTATGGCCGAGATCTGCCTCAGGCAGTGGGGAGGGAGTCCCCTCAAACATCATCCTCCGAGACCCCTGAAACACTGGGAGCTGGCTTCCCATCACAAAAGCATCCTGTGCTCAGGTCCCCGGGGGCTCAGGAAGAGATTTCAGAAGGCCAAGCCTCTACTTTCGACTTTCACTTCTATTTATCTTGGGGAGAAGCCAAGCAGAGCCAAGAAAGATATTTATACCTCCCTCCTCTCCCCAGCCACCACGGAAATGCTCCGGTTTCAGAGGAGGCCTGTAGCACAGCTGATGAAATGCCTCCTATAAAAGCATTTTAGCATTTTTTATTCTGGGCCAGGAAAGAAGATACCTGGAGGTTGTTACGCTTCACGAGCAAATGCTCATAACCCTAAGACTTGCCTAGTACCCCTCCTGTCCCTTCCTGTGGGTGCCAAGGGCCCACCTTTCCCCAAAAAGGCTGCAGGGAGCACAAGGAGGTGCGGATCAGGAGCAGCTAGGAGGGAGGTGGAGGGAGGAAAAACGCAATCACCCGCACGGTTACCGAAAGCCGTGTCATTTGATTGGAGTGGGACGTGAGGCTCAGCAAAAACACAGTAATTCTATAAATCCAAACACGCTGAAGGATTTATATCCTCGCTACCTAAAGAATAAATAAGAGGTTGGGGGATGGGATTTTTTTTTTTTTTTTTAAATATTATAAATGAAAATTAACCCGATGGAAGTAAAGGTCAGCTTACGAAGTCAACACCACGCATGCCATGCAAGCTACTAACTCCCATCAAGGGAATAGCACTTACCAGACTAAGTGTCCTCTGTCTCCCTGCTGCCTTCCCAAATTAAATTAGAACCGAATAAGGAAAGAGCATTGTTAACTTTTAACCCCAGACCCAGCACCTCTAAGCAAACATGCCAGAGAAGCGCCCTACCTTTCAAACCACAGCCAAAGGCTCAGAAACTGCTCAGCGAGGATGCCTAGGACATGGCATCTCCCACGGGGAAGAAGCAGGTGCCTAGAGAGCGGTACAGCATCCGCCCGGGAGCAGCATCCCAGGACCTGCAGGGAATGGCAGAGACCGCAGCCGTGCTGCCTTCCCCGAAAGCCATGAGCCCCCGAGAGAGGGAGTGTACTGGTCCATGGATACCCATATTTTACATGTTAGCCTGCGAACTACCGTAGGCCCACGTGTGCAAGCGCTCCTCCTTCTCCCTCTCCCTTTGGGGGGCTGGGTCCAAGGACACAACTGCGCAGGTAACAATGAAAGGTAGACAGCCCTGCGGTAGCTCCCAGAAAGCAAGCTTTTCTCCATTTCTCTCTCAAAGTCACTTATTTTGAGCCAGGAAAAGCCAGCAGCATGCCTGT